TAAAATGAGATGGACAAGCTGCCAATTCATGGTAATAAGAATGGTCAGGACATAATGTGAAGGTGTTCCATTCTTTGCACAACTCAAGCAGCCACAGAGACAGAAAGAGGATTTTATAGACAGTGTTTTACAAAATGGAGTCTTACCAATATGTGGAAAACAGACATTGAAATTCCTGCTGAGATTCAGAAAAAAATATGAGAATTGTATTGTTCTGCATTGTTCCTCCTGGATCTGAGTCAACCATCAACCAGTCTCTTATGGCCTGCACCCCTGAATAGGCCTTACCAGGGAGGCTGAGGAGTGGGATCCCCCTTAGTTAGAACACACCCTCAGGTTCCTCTTCTTGAAAAGTGTAACCACCAACCCAATCTGTCAATCCAGAGCCACTACCCCTGTTGACCATGTTGCAGTAGCATATCATTCACAACAGCCCAGTAACATCCATAGCCTTGAGGAACTTAGGGTAGACCTAATCCACTTCAGGTGACCTGCTGCCATGAAGCTTCTTAACTACTCTGCCCTGGTTATGGATGAACCCACCTCAAAATCTATGGTGTAGGCTATAAGTAAGCCCACACCAGCTCAATGTCTCACACCATTTGCAACTGTAGAGTTGAAGAAGGACCCACCCCTCTGAAGGAGATTGGTTAAGAACCCAAGCTGGGCATTTTGGTGAGCCCAGCTACATCTACTTGGTACCTCTAAACCTCACGCACAAGCTCAGGCACTGCACCTGACCCATATGGCTCCTTCTGCAGGTGGTGGGTCCACAAGAAGGGAAATCCATTTAGCTCATTTGGGATGAACCCAACCGGGTCCCATGTGTAAAAGCCTGCTCACCAGGCGCTCAATGACGAGCCCTCCCCCAGGCCTGGCTTCAGGGTAGGGCCCCGAGAACCCATGTCTGGGCATGGGACATGCACCTTGTTCATTATGACCTGACTTAACTTTGTTGGATTTTTTACCTGGATTATTGAGCATGAACTTTGATGTTTTGAACTACTGTGTCCATGGTTGCCTCAGAGGAGTCAACAGGGGAAAGGGTGGGCTCCAGAAACCATCTTATCACCATCAAACTGGTTAGCCCACTATGTGAGTGTGCTCCTTGTGGGACAGAGTTTGTTGTGGGTCCTCGTACTGATGAAGTCATTTGGATGAAGGACGAAATGTTTCAACAAACACACAAACAAAAGAAACCATCCAGAGGACCTGATGTTACTGTGTTGGACTTGTCCATTACAGCTCATATGAGTGTTATGTGTTTGTTTGGGATACACAGACTCGTCACAGATATCATATTGCAGTTTGTCTTTCCTTTTTTTTATCTTTACTGTAACTGTCTGCATTAAAAATTGATTGAAATTGGATCATGCTGATTGCCAACCCCTTTTTGAGAAAATGTTCAGCCTTCTGGACGGCGCACAGAGATCAGTCTGCGTTTGTCAGTGTGTGTGTTGCAGTGTGCGACTGCGGAACAGTTTATAAAAGTAACAGAATTAGAGGGACGAGTGTCTAAGAGGCAAGACAGAAAAAATACAAAACGAGATTACAAAGACGATTTCACTTTCTTTTTGTCATCGTAACCACAGACCTGGTGAGTGTTGACCAACTGAACCTAGTTTGTTTGAATCAATGCTTTAAAATACTGTCAGTAATAAAACTCTTAGATATTAGCTTTGGATTGTGTGATCCAACCTTTTGACATGGATTTTATGTAGTTTTGTCAAAGTTTGTTTTATATGTCATCATAAAACGTAAAGTACTTTGATGCATTTACAAGCTTTCATCTTTAAGTGTCCAACATAGCTGTGCGTTAATCTTCAGATAAACATGGAAACTAAATTTATAGCCTGAAATTTAGTGCTTTATTTAGCTTTCTTTTCATTTGGAGCTTATTTTAAATTTAAAGTCTGTAAACTCAAATAGCTGAGTCAGATTTAAGATTCATTGTAGGGGCTGTATGTCATACAGGTAAAGCTCTGTACGCTCTTCTAAGTATACTTTTGTATGAATATATTCACATTAATATGAGTGTTTTTGTAGTAAACAAATTCCAAAGTGTGTTTGAGTGTAAAAAACAACATGAAACTCAAGGATGAGTTGATTTTACAGAGGAGCTTTCTGGTTTTAAAGAAGCACCATCAGGTGCCACAGTACATATTGATATTGGAAGTGTGGCTAACATTTTTCAAAAGACTAAATGAAGGAAAAGTCCAGGTCCTGACGGCATAAGGGGTAGCTTCTTTAATAATAATAATAATAATAATAATAATAATAGTAATGTGTTATGTATTGTGATCATTGTATGTTTCCATACAATGGCGAAATTGGTTCTCTGCATTTAACCCATCCACCATCAGGTGGTGTAGTGGGCAGCTATGGAAAGCGCCCGGGGAGCATTTGGGGATAGGGTGTGCTGCTCAGAGACACCACAAGATGTGCAATGACTGGGGATCGAACCTGGGACTTTCAGGTCCCGAGTTGGCTGCTCTGTTGTGCCCTGCAGCTAGCAGACATCTTTCGTTTTCTTTTTAACATGTCTCTCTCCAAAACCTTTAGGGGTTTGGAAAATCTCTATTATTGATCCAATTCCAAAAACTAAGACTTCAGGCCTGTTGTCACAATTTCATTAGTAATGAAGTCATTCAAAAATCTGGTCTGGGAGATCCTTTATACTAGAAGTTTAAGATCATTTAGACCCACTTCAATTTGCTTATCGTTCAGAGGAGTGGAGGACACAACAGGAGCTCAAATATGGTTTTAGGACACCTTGAAGGTACAAAAACATTTGTAAGATTGCTTTTTATTGACTTTATATCTGCTTTTAATTGTATTCAGCCCCACATTTTAGAAGAGAGTTACAATTTCTATACGGTCTTGACTCTGGCCTCGTATGTTGGCTTGTTGCTTTTTTAACTGTTCGGTCTCTGCGAGTGATGTCAATGAGATTCTCTCTGATGTCCTTTTTCTCTCCATGGTGAGTTCAGGTTGCTTCCATCTGGACGCAGGTATCTGCTGCCCAGATGTAGGACGAACAGACTGGAAAACTCATTCAACCCTGTAGCGATCAGGCTTCTTCACGAACAGGGATGATTTCTGTTATTTTAATGTCTTGTCTAGTATGGATGTGTCATGTGTCCACTGACTGTGAAACAAATTGCCTCTTGGAGATAAAGATACTTGAACTTGAAATATATATTTAGCTTGCTGTCTTCCTGGGAAACTTGTGAAAGTCTGGTTTTGACAGAATGTCCTCAAAGGTCAAGCACTTATTAGGAAACACACTTTAAATTCTCTGACAGCGACGTGAGCATGCAAACAAATTCAAGCTTGAAGCAGAGTCACGATGGAAAGCAGTTAAGAGGATTCTCCACGTTTTGTTGCCTTTTTACGTTAATTGTGCCACATTCGTAACCAGATGCACAGTTCAAGTGAACTGTGTACTCCCATAACAAATTATGCAAATAGAATTACATTTATATATTAAATAAAACAACTTTTAAAGCAAATATGAAACATTTTCAGGACATCCAACAGCACACAAAGAAAAAAACTGGTGAAGCAGTTTTGTGAAATGTATCATTGTCTCTCGTGTGAGAACGGAGGGAACTGGTAGATCCTGTACGCACACAGTTACATATTAATGTCTGATAATACATTTAAAGTGTTTATTTGTTGTTATTATTGTTGAAGGCAGCTGGTGTAGCTCAACAGCCAGTATGTGGTTGATCCAAAAGGCTTCAAAACGATCTAATTGTCAACTGCAAGATCTATATGTTTTTTATTCTCTTTTTGTTTCCACAACGATAAAGAGGAAATGAGTGACCCACAACCCGTTTCGTCAAATGATTTGTGAGGTGGTGTACAACTACCGGTAGGTGCATGTAAAACTAGTTCAGTCCAACAATTTTCAGTCAGGTCATCTGGACAGTTTCTTTTTTTTTTTTGCTGAAACGTTTCGCCTTCCATCCAGAAGGCTTCATCAGTCAAGGAAACACACAACACAAAACTGATTCTTCCCCCAAACAGCTTACGCCAAAGTGGAACAAACCAGTTATGTTGGTGCTAAGATGGTCTCTTTGGCACGCCCCCTTCTCTGGTGCCGGCCCACTTCCTCATTGACAGTCATGTCAAACTGGTTCAAACCCAGTTTGAGCATGGACTTTTTTGGGTTTTTTAAACATTTAATATGTTTACTATGTTCCATTATGAATAAAATTTGGTAATAGTTTTAATTTCATTCCATCCATCCATCCATCCATCCATTCATTATCTTTATCTTCTTTTTTTCAGGTCATGGGGTTCACTGGTGCCCATATCCAGCTATCACTGTGAAAGAGTCGGGATACACCCAGAACAGGTCTCCAGTCCATCACAGGGACACATAGAGACAAACAACCATTCACTCTCTCTCTCACCTAGGGACAATTTTGAGTTACCAATCAGCCTAACATGTATGTTTTGGGTCTGTGGGATTATTATATTTTGTTATTTACATTTTTTATAAAATGTACCACTAGTTTTGAGATTGGGGTTGCACAAAAATGTTTTCTTTGCAATTTCATTGCCAGAAAAGGAAGTGTTTAGTTTATCTATGAAGATGAACAACTGAGTCATATACAGAGAAATGCGGTTGCTTAAAATATGAAACAAACCACAACAGATTTCATCATGGTTTCTTGGTAGTGGGGAAGAGGAATGCACTGAAACCAATCCTGCATGGGACCTCCTGAACTGTATATGCATATCTATAGAAAACTGGGTCAGCACTGGTTGGTTACCTTAGCCCACCAGAACCATACAAACTAAACAGGGCCACTCAAAAAACAAATGACATGGTGTTTTAATAGTGGGTTTTTGGGGTTCTGTGAGGGTGAGGCCATGAGCTTTAATTAGTTTTTATACGTTTAAATTCTAATGTTCACGGTGGCTCAGTTGGTAGAGCTGTTGCCTCGCAGTGAGAAGGTCACCGGATCAAATCCCAGCCAGGGGGTGTCATGATTGGTGCTGGTGAACCCAGTTGTGCAGGCAAGCAGGTGAGGACTCAGGATTAATATGTAAAAATAAAAGATTTATTAACAAAACAAAAGAGCTGACAGGGCAGCAAAAACAAACAAGGATGGACAGGTGGTACTTATAAAACAGACAGGTCATCAACAGTGAGCAATGGATAATGCCTGGACAAAGACTAACACAGAGACACAAACTTATATATAGAGAAACACCAATCAGACAAAGTGAAGGCACCTGTGAGTGATCACAGATGCCAGGAGACAGAGACTGAAGACGCAGCACATAAACACGAGACAAGATGGGGCTAGACACCAGAAACACAAACCCTGTAGAGACATTAACAGAGGATCAGGGAAACACAGACATGAACACAACAAGGACAAAATCACAATTCCTACAGGGAGACCTTTCTGTGTGTAGTTTGCTTGTTCTCTCCGTGCATGTGTGGGTTTCCTCCCACATACCAAAACATGCATGCTAGGCTGATTGGTGACTCTAAATTGACCCTATAGGTGAGAGTAAGAGAATGAATGGTTGTTTCATATGTCTCTATATGTCCCCGTGATGGACTGGAGACCTGTCCAGGGTGTCCCCCGCCTCTCATAGTGACTGCTGGACATGGGCACCAGTGATCCACACAATTCAAAAAGGAAGAATTGGATAAAAGATAATGATGGATGGATGTTTAAATTCTAATGTTATTTCGATATCAACAAGTTTTTTAATCTGTTTTTTTTAAACCAACACATCTTTGGGGGTACTCTTTGGAACCCCTCCCCACTCAACTGAAACATGTTGCATGAACTTACTTGCGTTTATCACTACATTAAAAAAGCAACACTTTCACATTTTTGACATTAAATCTTTTTTTTTTTTCAGTGCCTCAGCATCAACCTGATCCTAAACATGAATATCTCCTACTGCCCACTGATCGATAAGATGAGGAACCACAGCATGAACAGCACCAAGGTCAACTGGGTGGTGGTTTTTGTCCACGGTGTCGTCTCCTGCCTGGGGATTCTGGAAAATGCCCTGATCATTTGGGTGCTGGGTTTTCGCATCAGGCAGCGCACAGTGGTCTGCATTTGGGTGCTCAACCTGTCCCTGTCTGACTTCCTGGCCTGCCTGACACTCCCTCTCTTCACAGCCTACCTGTCTTACTCCCAGAGCTGGACACTTGGAAACGCCCTGTGCGTAGCACAGTCATCCATCTTTTACCTGAACATGTTTGCGTCGGCCTTCATGCTGACAGTCATTTCACTGGACCGCTTGCTGCTGGTGGTCAAGCCAGTGTGGAGCAAGACTCATCGCTCCTTGGCTGGAGCGTGGAAGGTGTGCGCCATAGGGTGGTTGTGGGCGATGATAAATACTGTCCCATACGCTGTGTTTCGCTCCGTGATCGATAAGAATGATGGGAAGTCTTTGTGCTATCATAACTTTGCTTTGTATTTGCCCACTAGTGCGTCACTGGAGAGAAACTGTGAAATGAGACAGGCAGCCACTGCCATCTCCAAGATACTGTTTGCATTCTTGATTCCTTTGGTGATTATAACTGCAAGCTACATCAAAATTGGGCTCAAGCTTAAGGATCTGGATAGGAAGAGAAGGGCAAGTAACAGCTGGCTGAAAAATATACTAATGAGAAATGAAAACTCAGTAGAAACAAATACTTCTGTAAAAAGCCAAACTTCCGATTCATTATCCAAAGCCAAATCAAACAAAAGGTCCTCCAACACTCCTGCTCCGTCACTGCTTTCCAAGAGTTTCACTAAAATGATAGCACTAGTGATCATTTCCTTTACCGTCATATGGGCTCCGTACCACATCCTGTGCATGATGGAAGTGACGGCCCTGAAGGAGAAAGAGATTTACTCCATCGTGGAGACGTGGCTCCCGCTGGCTGCAACTTTCTCGTTCCTGAATCCAGTTTTGAACCCCGTCTTGTACGCCTTCAGCTGCCCACAGTTCTGCATGAACATCCGCCAAAACCTGGCAGCGGTGTTCGAAAGCCTCTTGGAGGAAGGAGGGGAGTTGGTGGCGCAGGGGAGGAGCAGTAGAGCCAGGAGTCGGAATGTGAGCCTTGTAGCTTGACTTCTACTGGCTGACATTTTGTTTTAGACCTGTCTTCTTATTTTAGCATTATTTGAGCTGAAACAACAATTTATAAGTGACTAACAAAACGTTTAGGTGATTTTATGCCAAATTCTAAATACTGTATGCCACAAAAAAAAAAAAAAAAAACCATTGTAGCACGTCAAGTCATTTACCTGTACCAAGACTTTTGCTCTTCAACAAACATGAACAGTGCACATTTTTTTGTTGTATTTGTCTGCTCTGCCAAGATTTGCATTTTATTAATTTATTCATTAATTTTTATGGGAGTTTCATTTAGAATGTCAATTTTAAGACATACCTCGCCATAACCGATTACTGTACTTGCCACCGAACATGTCGCATCAGTCCAAATATGTCTAATAAAGTGGAAAAAAACATGAATACGTCACTTTGCCGTATAGGTCGCATCTATTATGCGGTTGTGTTGTGCCAAAAATCGATTGGCTGCCAAATGGTGGCTGCGGGAGCATGCACGGGAGGACTCTAACAAGAATTTAACAAGATTAACACTTAAAAACAATTTTGTTTGCTCAATAAATAAAAGTGTCTCGTGAATAGCAACTTTTACCTGTTATTGAGACACTTGACTTGCCATACTAGTGGAGCGCTCTCTAGTGGCTGAAAATGGGAGGTTCAATATCCTGATGCATGCTCAAGTGTTCAATATTTTTCCATGTCCGAATGAATGAAATCGTCAGATCTCAGCCAAAGATTGGGTTATAAATATGGGGAAACCAAAAACATAAATATGTCGCTTAGCTGTATAAGTCGCAGGCATGCTAATTTATGCATAAAACTGTGACTTATACATCAAAATGTATGGTAGTGTTTAATGCCTAAACTTAACAAAGTTTGCTGTTTAAAGAAAAAGCACGATTGTGATAAAAACAAAAACACATGGCCATTTTCAGGCACATTTTTACTGCACCAAGGTGCTTAAACAGTGATTTTTATTTATTTACTATATCCTAAAAATGATTTTTTTAGACACAGTCAAGTTTAAAAATTCTTAATCTGTCACTGAAATGAAGATTGTCTTGATTTGAGAGAAAATGTCAGGAAATGTTTTGTTTTTCTTTCCTGTTTCCTTGTTTTGTTGTTATTTGTGTAAAAAAAAATGCTTAAAAACATTTAAAACAGAAAGAAATAAAACAGTAAATTAATATGAGTTGCGGAAAGACAAAGTGTAAATGATTGGATGTTTTCAACACTCCAGATTTTAACTGCATTAACTTTCCCTTTAATTTAATTCGATTTTTATATTTTCATCTTCAACCATATATTGATTTTGTTTTACAATATTTTAGTCCAACCTCCAACCCCCAGAAACACTCATGTCCAAACACATGCATTTTAATTTTTTTTTTTTTTTTACATTTAATGACCATAAAATGCAAACTGTTGTGTTCTACTGCAATAATTCTGGCCTCATGTCCAACAAAATGTATACAAACTACAAAAAAATGATGAATTTGACTCTGATCGTTCCCAACCATGGTCCTTGAGGAACACCACCCTGCATGGCAACACACATTTGAATGAACAGGTGATTAACAGGCTTCTGTAGAACTTCAGGATGTAATAAAATCACAGAATCAGGTGTGTTGGAGCAGAGAAACAACTATAATGCAGGATGGTGTTCCTCAAGGACCAGTGTTGGGAACCACTGGTTTACACAAATTGCATTTTATGAGTACTGTATTACAGTAATTTCCTTAACTTCTCATTCAACTAATACCTAAAGGTTTTTTTTCTGTTTTGAGCTGAGTTGTTTAATACAATAAGTCCAACAATAAATTGTGAGTAAATTACACATTCCTAAACGTATATCACTATTATAATTGTAAGCAGGACAGCATGCTAACGTTAGTAACTTGTCAGCGGTGGGTGGCATTTATAGTTTTAGGCATCTGTTTGGGTTTGGAGATCCAGGTAAACTGTGAACCTTTACACTTGCATGCCCACCTATAGATGAATTGTTATCCCCTCCATTACAACCAGTATTTATTTGGTCAGATATGAACATTGCATGGTTTTACAAAAACTTGAAGGAATGTGCTACTATATTTGTTTTTGTCTAAATTAACAAACGTGAGCATGACATTTTTAGAATAGGGACAACTGTGAGATATCTGCACGTAAATATTAAGGTTTCAAGACCATTTTTGTACTTAAATTCAGAAATGTTGTGTTTTAATGTTCAATTTACACATTTATTAGTTAATACTTTACATATTTGTGTCACAATATTTGTACACTGAGAAATTGTGAACAAAATTTTTTTTCCCTTTTCTAACAGCATTTAATGGAAACACTGGAAATATATGTATGTTTCATTTTATTGGTCACTTTAGTATCAAATAAACGTGTAACATTTTGATTAACCTTGTCATTTTTTAAAATTATTTGAAACATGCTTATCTGTAAACAATCTCTTGATAACATCATGAGTGTAAAGAACACAGAGATTATGAAACTCTGAAATTTTACAAATTATTAATCACAAAGAAAATCAAATACAAAGTGATAAAAGGGAGAAAGGGCTGGGTGTGGGTTCATGCTGTGCTAACTTTTGCCACCAGGGGGCAGAAAAGTACAGATTACTTCCACAGAAGTGAAGAAATGGCATTGAGTTTTTCAGGATTTTTATTCCAGGAGCATTTAAAATCTGAGCTGCTGAACATCTGACCAGCTTTTAAATTGATTAGATTTCATCATAGTCAATATTCACTGTCTCATCAGCTCCATTGTTGAATGAACACACACATTCACACACACATACACAGGATTTGGAATCACGTAGGCCACAGCAGCATGGGATTATCACAAAGGTAATTCTAATTTACAGAGAATATCACAAAGTGAAGATCCAAAGACAAATCAGGATTAAATCTTTTTTTATAGCTGACGAAACACCACAAGTGGTCAACTGCTTTGTTCTCAATTTTGAAAATGTTGTCTTTCTGTTTTACTAAATAGAAAACAGACACTTAAATGTTCATGCTTCACTTTACAACAAGACAAGGATTTCTGGTGAGTTCATAAAATCACTACCTTTAAAAACCCAAAAGACTTATTGGGTAAGACCTCTTTAAAATATTATCTCCAGCTTCTTGAAAAGAAAACATGAAGGAACACTGGAAGATGAAGACTTTTGCACAGTAATCTAAATGTCTCAGTTAAGAGAAGTGGAGAATAAATAGGAAAAAACACTGAGTCAGAGTTATTTAAGTTATTTTTAAGTCAAACACTCAAAAAACACGTCCATCAGTGCTTTAATCTGTTTTATTTGACATATTTTCATTGGTATCAAACCTCATCCGTTCATAAATCAGCAAAATGTTTGTCTTAAAACATTTGTTCACTATTTTAACAAACAGTGTCAGAATTTGCTGAAGGGACATTTCTTAGATTTCACAGATTCAGACCTCCAGATTAAAATAATAATAAAAAAAATACAGTGTGTTGCAGCAATACAAAAGTTTGACAAAATATAAAAAACATACATTTTCAAAACATATAAAAATATGAGCTTTCATTGCTGATTTTACTTAATGAACCACAAATCATAACTTGAAGTTTTTGTGAATAGACATAATTTAGAACAATTGTTCTGAATAAAATCCTTGTTGAAAAAATACTCATAAAACAAAATTCATTAAAAGACAACCTGATCGTATTTTTATAATCTAAAAACAACAAAGATCAGCAGGTTCTCTTGCTCTTGACCCATTTCTACTCTGGACTTGTTAATCCTGTGATTGCAGTCATACTGGGCTTCCTCCAGCAAGATACAAAGCTGTTCCAAGTCCCGGAGCACTTAAGAAATGTAACAGGAACACAAGAAATTTTTTTTTTTTAAAAAGCAAAGCTAAATGTCTTTAAATTACACAATTCTTTACCGCTCCTGTAAGCAGAAATGGAGAATGTCACCAGCTAAAAGTTTTCTTTCAAGATCATATATCTTAATCTAAAAAAGACTCGGTTCAGTGATAATTCAAGGCCTTCCTGCGAAGGCTGACAGCAGCAGGCAGAGCCACAGCGGCAGTGACAGGCTTAGAACCGGAGACCCTCCTGCAGGAGCAATTGAACGATAGCATTTGCCCACATTTCCAACTTTATCCACAGCTATAAACTCAACGATCCGTGAGCAGCAGGAGGCGTTGTATTGAGCTTGGATGATGGGAGCCTGCAGTGAGGAGTGCGTCAGGGTCCCGTTGCCCTGACGTAGAGCAATGCTCTCTATCCCGGTGCCATTTCCATCTGTCAGGTTAGCCGAGAGCCCCCAGTGGAAGGGTCCACACTGGGACAAATCTTTAGGGCAGTCATCTGCCAGTACTCCATACACTTCACACTGCGGCTGATAAAAATCTGTGATCTGGATAAAATAAGGACAAGAAAGTGTATGAATATTTTAAACATATTATCTGAAGACTGACGTATGTAAAGTTCTCTGGTTCACTTGGCTACAGGTTTAAAAACACTTCTGCTTTCAGAGTTAATATCAAATGGCAGCACGATGGTTCAGTGGTTAACACTATTGCCTTGCAGCAAGAAGGTTCTGGGTTCAATCCCTGGTTGGACCTGGGGTCTTTCTGTGCGGCGTTTGCATGCTCTTCTCGTGACTGAGTGGTATCTATCTATCTATCTATCTATATATATACTAAAATAAACAACGACTTACTATCCTGATGCATGCTCAATAATCCAAGTGGAAATATCTAAAAAAATTTAAGTCAGGCCCTTTGGATGTTCAAAAAACATTTTTTTCAGGGACACCACCAAGTCATTGGTTCAGGTATGTTGACGACACCTGGGTTAAAATCAAATCTCAGGAAGTCCAACATTTTACTGACCACATCAACTCTGTGGATAAATACATCAAGTTCACACGAGAAGATGTAAAAAATGGCAGGTTGGCTTTCTTGGACTGTGAGGTCTCAGTCTCTGATAGAGGACATTTGCAAACTGAGGTGTACCACAAACCCACCCACACAGACCAGTATTTGCAGTTTGACTCCCATCACCCTTTGGAGCACAAGTTAGGAGTCATCAGGACTCTGTACCACAGAGCAGACAGCGTCCCCACTAGCTCAGGAGCCAGGCAGAAGGAGAAATCCCACACAAAACAGGCTCTAGAGCAATGTGGATATCCTAACTGGGCCTTC